AGATTTTGTGTATTTTTAAGTTTTATTACATTGCATGTAAATTTTTGAATTCATTCGTGACTTGTTTGCTAATGAACTTTATTATGATGATTCATATTGAATATTTAAATGCCATAGGGTGACCTTATGAATTATTTTAGTTTTACATTTTATTAGTTCGTTGTAGGTGCACATCAGCCTTCTGGCTGCCCCCTTCCTTACAACCTGCATTACTAAATAAAATGATTGATTGATTGATTGATTGATTGAAATGTCAGTTTTGAAACTCTTTACAGTAGCCAATTTACTCAATGCAGTTGATAAAACCAAATTATCTATAGTTAGAAAATGGTTTTGCAACATAAAGAGACTTTTATAAGAGGGCTAGGGGAGTTCGAATGCGCATAATTACAGACACGCCATTTGAGCGGCACCAAGGTTAAATGTTTAAAGTATTTCTGAAAAAAGTGTAGGATCGAATTGAAGACATGAAATGTAGAAAATTCACCCAGATGGCGCCTGAAAACCTAACTCTTGAATAACACTCAAACTACCCATGTAAGTACCCTTTGTGTGCATTAGGCATACGAGGCTTCATCTAGCAAGGATTTGGTTTAATTTCGCTTTTTCTCTGTTAAATAAAGGCGAACAGTGAACAAATATTAAGAGAAGGAAAAAAGGAAATCCCGTAAGAGAGAGTAACAAGAACCAAGAGCTCATTGATGACAAGTTACGTTCGTTTAGATATGTTATTTGATAACATCTTCCCAAAAAAAACTTTCTTTTATGCCGAGTTCTTAACAATAAAAGCGAAAATTTGCTTCTCTGGCTTAAATTGTTTGAGTTTTTATGAGTGCTTGTGGTTTGACGCGGTTAAAAGTTAAAGCGAGAACTCTGAACATATGTTGACTTTTCGTCAACTGTCATAAGAAGACGGAAACGCAAGTTAACACTCAATAAGTCCTGTTGCCGTCTTTATCAGCTCGGCTACAGTTTTCTTCCATCGTTAGGGGCCAACCATTTAACTTTTGAAGGGGCGGGTGGCGTGGGTGATTTCTGGTCATCAAGAAATTTTTTTTCTAGCAATCTGCTGGGCAGGATATTTTTTTTTCGTTCTAAATGCTCTTTATTTTTGTTACACTTGGGCTGCATGCAATTTTTTTCTTCCAACAAGCGCTTGCAGGAATTTTTTTCAAAATCACCCACCCACCCCC